AACAAAGCCTGATACAGTCAATAGATTTTAAAAGCTATTCAGCCACTATTTGTTTTTAAAGTGATTGTGTCAGTACGTACAAACACATGTTATTACGTATTTTTTGTATTATTAAAACTCTTCAAAATGTGAAATTCATACATGTTTTCAAATCTCCTGTAATCAGGGCTCTAAGACTAGTTTACATATGATGCAGGGAAGTATAGGAAACTTAAGGCTACCTGCCTTGGGATGAACATCACTCAAAACTAAGACAAAATACCGTAAAATTCCGAAAATAAGCCCCGGGGCTTATATTTTTCAAAGGCCCTTTTTGAGGGGTTTATTTTTGGAGGGGCTTATATTCGGAGGGGCTTAGGTACGAAGGGAAATTTGCGTTTAAAAATCGATTGGGCTAGCCTTATTCTTGGTAGGAAATTTACCGTTTTTCTTCGTTTTTCTTTGTATTTGAGGGCAATATCCAAGTACAACCCCCCCAAGGGGCTTGTATTTGGAGGGGCGATTTAACGGAGGGTTTTTTGCGTTACGAGTCGTGGTATTGTCTTTTTAAGTAGCCACACCATACCACGTCATATTGTGTAATTTCCGGTCATTATTTTACTTCATACATATTTCTGTAAATTCGTGAAATCTCAATAAACCTGATGAAGACTGGTATTGGCCAGTCGAAATATCGCAACTCAACTCTATTTCACGTTGTTTGATCAGTCCCTGCAAAAGTCTTCTTGACTGTAACGTTATGAATTGAAGTTTGTCAAAATGCAGTTTTTATATATCACTATGACAACAATAAACTCGATTTAATCCGACTTTCGCGCGATCTAGACCTGCTACTGGAAATTCGACACCAGGAACTTAAAGTGTGGTGTTTAGCAAATAAGCTCTGTGAATTTGAATCCAAATAAAACGAAAATATATTTCAAACCTTATATTTTCAATAACTGTGATAAATTGTTCAATAAAAAAAGTTCTAAATAATTCAAATTAATCTTAAGTAGCGTCAGAAGGCTGCTTAATATCATATTTCGATGCAAGGAAATTTTGGTGTATTTCCTTTCTTGCGATCCTGAAAACTAACCTTCTCAACAGCTGTCTGAGTACAACTTTATTCTAAATTTTGACTTTTAGCGCTTTTCTATATATCTCTAAAACGGCTCGACAGAATTCTTTTTAAAGCTCATCACACAATCTCCATGATATAAATATTAATGTCTGAAACTTTCATTGAGATTGATCCACTGCAACACCGTGAAATTTCAAGACGAATCTAGGCTACCAACCGACCAAAAATCCGCGTTACAACATTCATTGTTTAGACGTTATGTAATTTTTCCAAATTAATGCTCACCACTAGTACATACCTCCAAGCCTAGTACATTTCAGCATGACTTTTATTGCTATTGTGAATGTAAATCTTTGACAATGCTCATATTGAAATGAATTAGCCATGGAGGTATGTATGGTGGGCATTAATTTGGAAAAATTAGCATAACGTCAAACCAGTGAATGTTGTAACGCGGATTTTTGGTCGGTTCATAGGCTAGATTCGTCTTGAAATTTCAAGGTGTTTCGGTGAATCAATCTCAATGAAAGTTTGTACAGATAATAGCATGATTTGTAGTGATGTTTGGCATAAATAGGTCTTTTGCAATAGTTGATCACGTGATCAACTTTCGGTGAACACGAAAGCAGTTCGCTTTTGAAAAATTTTGTTAGTACGAGCTGAAAGAGCATATAAAAATTAGGTGACCTGCAAATTTTCAGCCGTATACCTCAAAAGTAGCGATTTCAAAGGCCGCCGAAAATTGGACGAATTTGTATGAGAAAAATAACTCTTGCCACCCAGTCAGGCTCGAGTGGTTTTCCATACAACTCCTTTTACATTCTGAAATTTTTAAATTGTCGTTAAATCTTTCCCTTACGCATTTAAGGGCTCAGAGTGTCTGTTATGAATTAAAAGGAGATTTGAGCCCCGTAATGCTTAATGAAATATTTCACGACGGTTTGAAAATTTCGAAATTTACAAGGATTTGTTTGGAAAACCATTAAGGGTAACTGAACTTTTAAAATTTTCAAAATTTTTCAAAAGCAAACTGTTTTCGTGTTTACCGAAAGTTGATCACGTGAATAACTAATGCAAAAGGCCTACCACGAGTGATATTTCGAAATTGTTAAACATAATTTCAGGAGCCGTTAGGCAAGTGAAATTTGAGACAATTTTGAAGTATAACAAGTGGTATTTATGCCAAATTAGTGCATGTTTAGTACGATAATAAACAAATATGATGATGGGTGTTTTCCAAACATTAAAAGTGTACATCCATAAAGTTTAATTCGACAAATACCACTACTCTAAGCCAATCAAATTGCAGACATTTCTCGTGTACTAGTATAACAGACCCTATTATATACATCATGAAGATTATGTGATAAGGTTTAAAAGAATTCTGTCGAGCCGTTTTAGAGATATACAGAAAAGCGCTAAAAGCCAAAATTTAGAATAAGGTTGCATTTAGACAGGTAGCGAGAAAACAGGTCAGTTTTCAGGATTGCAAGAAAGGAGTGTCCAGGGGACAAAAACGCGCGCTCACAACACAAAGGTTCTTGAACACAACTTTAATAATCGAAAGTTGCACACGCAGCATATTTTCTTGACAGCACAACAGGATCGGAATTGGAGTCTCATCTTTGGCTAACAAGCTTCACCTCGCAAGTAAAAACCTACCAAAAAAAAAACACCTAATCACTATTGGGACGGGATTTGGAAATACACGATTGGCAAGATATCCGTATAACCCCATACATTAATTATGCATACATTCATTGTTTAAAGAAAACAAAAGACAGAACAATACTAAGCCGTTGGGGTTTTAGGTATTGTTTTAGAAATTTTTAATTTTTTTCCTAAGTCTTTTGAAACGCGCTAAATTTGGCGCTTTTTGCACTAAAAACTGCATTTTGACAAACTTCAATTCATAGTTAATCAGTGATGAAAATTTTGTGGCGATCGGAAAAGGATAAAATCACTTTTAAGGCGATTGAAAAACATCGGTATGGTCTGCGAAAAACTGTATCGAAACACCTCAAGAGGACTTCGGTCGATATGTTTCCACGGTCGCAATCTTTGCAAATACCCGCTTTCATACGAAATTACACGTCAAAAATAGCCTGCTTTCTTTTGCATTCTTTCTCTACCATTGAAAGCCAACTTGATCAAAACAACAGCATTTATGGCATTTCTTGGCGAGGGTATTAACATTTTGAATCACCGCCCACAGAAAATTGTACAAAAATCATGCTCACAAAACAGAAGTTTTGAACCAAAGGGCCCAGAGACACTCAAATCATCGCTCGGTCTTGCTGGAAACCAATGAATATAAATTATCATTGAAAAAATCGTGTTCCTTTAGATCGTGTGTACGACTGAAAGAATCAAGTTTAGGCTTTCTCGCGGAATGTCATTTTCACTTCCGTTTTGAACTGAAGCATGCGCACTAAGATCGGATTCCCAAGTTTTCTGGGGATGCAAATTCCATTTTCCCAGACTCCTCGCCGGCGTTCCCCCGCTGACCAGAAAGCCCGAAGACTCTGGGTACGAGGTTGAGGGTGAGCTTGGGAAATGAGCCCGCGCTAAGAGAATGTCGGCTCTTTGCTCTTCCCAAGCTCTCTCGGTTGACCCGAAGCGTCGCGAACTCTCACCCTCACGAAAGTTAGTATCTCATGTAAGACTTCATAATATGTCCCGAAAAAAATACTTTTTAAAATTTCTTTTTTCCCCTTTTTCCTCCTTAATTCCCCTGTTTTCCTCTGTTTTCCTATGTTTCCCCTGAAGAACAGGGGAAAACAAAGGAATACAGGAAAAACATGGGAAAACAGGGAAAGCTTAGGAAAACAAGAGAAAAGAGGGAAAAACAAATGGGAAACAAGGGAAAACAGAAGGAAACATAGGAAAACATGGGAAAACAGAGGAAAATAGGGGAAAACATAGGAAAACAGGGAAAACATAGGAAAATAAGAGAAAACAGAGAAAACCAGATGAAAAAAGGGAAAACAGACGGAAACATAGGAAACCTGTTGAAAACAGAGGAAAACAGGGGAAAACATAGATAAACAAGGGAAGACAGGGAAAAAAACATAGGAAAACAAGGGAAAACAGGGGGAAACATTGGAAAACAGGGAAAAACAAAGGAAAACGGGTGGAAACAGAGAAAAACGGGGAAAACATACTAAAACAAGGGAAAACATAGGAAAACAGGGAAAACATAGAAAAACAAGGGGAAACTTAAGAAAACAGGGGAAAAAAAAAATATGAAAACAGGGCCGGGGAAAACAAAGAAAACATAGGAAAACAGGGAAAAACGTAGGAAAACATAGGTAAACATGGGAAAACATAGAAAAACAGGGGAAAACATAGGAAAACAGGAGAAAAACATAGGAAAACAGGGAAAAACGTAGGAAAACATAGGTAAACATGGGAAAACATAGCTACCTGAACTTATGTAATTTTTCTCAACTTCCCCTGTCTAATAGCTTGTTTACTGTGTTGTTTGCTTATGTCGTTTTTGTTTTTTTTTTGGCTTGTCTTGTGGTTAGGGATTTTTCTCTTAGCAGTATGTGACCCTAGCTAGCCCTTACGGCTTTGACAGTCAGTGCGAAAAAAGTCCACAGCTCATTCCAACAACCTCCACGAGTTCGACCAAAGCCCTGGAAAGATGGAAGGACAAACACGTCCGTTTACTTATTGCAAGCTGCATGAAGTTCAAAGACAAATTTGGGAAGTCACACATTACTCAACCATTAATTCGGTCGGACTTTTGGTTCGGACGCGTTCTATTTTCCCTTGGTGACCTTGGTTAGTCCGAGTGGTGTCGGACCGGTCGGTCCGGTATAATGTAAAGCACCCATTATGGAGTCTTACATGAGACACTGACCCTCACGAACAAATTCTAGTCCAGCGTGACATAGATTGGACTAGGCCAAATTGAAATTAACGAACTAAAATGGATCTGTTGTCGGTGGAGGTTGCTTTTCTGGTACTGTTGACCGGATCACAGGGGATGTCTGCAACGTGCATGGAACGGGAAGAGCATATACTTCGCTATTTAATTTCATCGCAGCCGCCATATGATAACTACTACAATATTTCTAAAGCTCTTTATCCGTCTGTGGATTTGCCTTCTTTGCTGATCAAGATCACCGTTACGTTTCTAAATGGCAGCGGCAATCTCACTCATTTAGCCGGATCGTCCCGATCTCCAATCAACGGTAGTACTTCAAATATCTCACAGACAGGGGAAAATGTCCACGAAAATGTTACGACATACAAGTTCACGTAAAGGGGAGCATCCTGTTTGTATGTCAGTGGAGGAAACATAAGCTTGAATTCCATGAATGTTTTTTCTTTGTGGGCTATTTATCCAAACAGGCGGGAAAGACATCTGCACTTAACATTGCCACAGTTCTGCAGGGGATTTTCTGCTGATACCATGATCTACTTCCTTTCCACGGTAGGACTTTTAGCCATTTCATTATTATTGTTAACTTATCATCATCATCATCATCATCATCATCACAAACATCATCATCATCATTAAGGGCTGGAGGAACATACTGAGGTGCAATCAAAGCCTCAGTGATTACCCCTTTTTGTTTTTAATAACTGATTTTCTTCTGCATTTCCCTGAAGTGATCTCCTGGAGATGGTGATGTCTTCCCCCTCACCTGACCCCTGTCTAACTTGCCTTCTCAAAAATAGCTGATACAGATATAGATTACACTTCAAAATTTTTCAGTTCATAATGTAAAATATTATGCATTTTCAAATTATAAATCTGTCTCAGTGAATGCCTTAAAATATTAGTGGCACTGGTGTCCTTTGTATGGAAACATAGAATTTTTAGCCTCTCTATGGGTACCAATGGATGTCATTTTCATCGCACGACCAATCAGAAGCAGTTTACCCAGATCTGGGTGGTTACACATCATTAGTATGAAATTGCTGTGGTTGTTCCTCAGGTGTCATTTCATGAGGAAACTAGTGGTGGTGTCCTGATAATAGAAAGATTTAGAGTCACATTTATGGCAAACAGCAAACATGAATTTGTTCATGTACCACATGACCAAGTTTTCGCTTAACCTCTGCTTTACTGTTCATTATTGCTACCCCAAAATTAGTAGCTTAACATTAGTTTTGTTTATGGCAATTGTTTTCAGCAATTTTCAGCTTGTCATTTTCTGTTTTGTGGAATTCTCAACATTTTCCATTTGCCGTAAACATCACTCAAATTTCTCTAAATATCATTAAGGGCAAACACGACTCATAAGCTTGTGATGATGTGAAACATGACCTTGGAAGTTGTTTGAACAACAGGTTTTCCCTCTTTTCTTTCCCACTGCTGTGTTTGGACATAAAAACCAATTTTGACTGAGCTAATCTTACTTTTGCCGCACTGAGTCTTACATTATTGAAGGTGATTCATGCCCTTGCTTGTGGGCGTAGGTGGCCAGAAGAGCCAGAACAATGGACTGGTAACAGGTACACATAAAGCACCTGATATGCAGGCTAGGGCAGCATCATTAGTATCAGTATCATCAGTAGTAGCAGCAGCAGCAGCAGCAGTAGTACATACCCAGTAGCAACAGCAGTAGCAGCACAGTAGGAGGAAGAACAGCCACAGTAGCAGAAGCAGCAGCAGTAGTAGTTTTTGTCGTTATTTTGGTTTTGTCATTTTTTAAAAGTTTTTAGGCAAGTGCATGTTTGAGAGTGTTTGTTTTAGTAATGCTGTTCTTGATTTGATTTGCAGTTGCAGGACATAGCTATATCGCCAAATAATCCTGATCCTAGTCTAAACACAGTAGAGTGTGTTACCACGGGTCATGGGAAAGCTCCACCATTTCCTGATTGGAAGAATCTGCTTCACGAAGTGTGCTGGTACATTCTGTTCATAAGTTTGTTATTCAGTCAAGTTGCTTCGCAGTGGCTTATAGTGCAGCTAAGGGAGTGGAAGATTAAAACGGATAGCAGCGAAGTTGAAGCAGAGAAAAGGAAAAATGACAGCCAAGTTGCAGCTATAATGTTGTTATCTATAGTTGTTTTTATTACCGGACTTTCCTCTATCTTTTTTGCCTGGAGTCGTTCCACTTCTAAGCAAGATTATTACGTGTGGGCATTCTTCATATCTGCGATGCTTGTACTTGCGCGGAGGGCACTTTGGTGTTTCTTACGTATCTATAAAAGCGACAATATTGATCTACACAAGTTGAGCTTAACTAAGGGCCATGAGAGCGACCCAAGCGGAAATGTTATTTCGTTCTTCACACTTTACCCAGCAGTATTCATGGCTTGCCATCATTTGCTGTGGATATTGCTGGGCGTTATAACAGAACCATTTTGGGGTATTTCAGTTTTAGTGGCTGTCATTTCTGTTTCTGCTATTCTCGTTTTCTTTTTTTATGATTTTTACGAATATTATCTTTCCCATGAATGTATTGACCGCGAGTGTGAAAGATGTTCTGCACGTAGAGACTGGCGACGTGAGTACTGGTTTCCGTTTTTTATGTCGCTATTTCTTGTTCTAGGAAGTTGCGCTGCCTCTGTACTGTTAATAATTGTTCTGTTAGTAGTTGCACAGTCGTTCCTTAGTGAGAGCCTTGTTTCCACGTTAGTTCAAAATGGTTTGGTGTTTTTCTCAACTTTGTGGCTTGGATATTTGAAGCTACATCAAGCAAAGAAACCAGCAGAAACCAGGAACGATGGTAATGCAGGAAATTCGAACCAGTCCGGTCGACCCAATGGTTATGAACTTGTAGAGATTCAGGTGCAATAGAGACCTTAAACGACAAACCACGGTTTGTGGTTAGCAGCTTCACGATAGCCGTCTGCCTAGATTCGCGGGCGGTAGCTCGCGGCAGCCTCTTTTTTGTTTTCATTCATTTGGTGCCTTCTCGATGCCTTCTATTTTAGCTTAGAAATTACGTTCAGATGAAAAAAAAAATTTATAGTTGATAAGAAGAAGATTTCTAAAACGTGGTATATCCTCTCAAACTTGAACTTTTAATGTTTTAGGGTGCAAAAAAACCTTGCGTCAAATTACTTACCCCCAGGGTGGTATAGCTGTACAAACGCGAACCTCAAAATCTACCGAAATGGTGGTGGTGGTGGTGGGGGGGGGGGNTCTAGTAGGCAATAATAATCATCAAGGCAAATATTTAAACGGCGTGGGTCTTTACAGAAGAGGATTATGAGGTTGGAGTGTGAGAGGGGGGGGTATAAAGGAAGATTACTCCGGAGTTCAAGTGACGGGGATGGCCGAATGGCGGCAAAAATCAAACCCCCAAAAATCCCATGCCCATGCCGAGTTTCCGAGCCTTGAAAATTTCCAGAAATAATTAAATGATATAACAAAAAAAATTTTTAGATGTTTCCGGACTAAAAAAAACCAACGTAAATCAATCAAGCCACCCGAAAAAATGTTTGTACAAAATGATCCAGCAGATTTATGAAGAACATATCAAACAAATTTCATCAGCGTGCATTGACCATTAAATTTGTTGGTGATTTTCGCAGGCATCGCATTTAAACTTGAAAAAGCTGGCCCAATTTTTTCAAGTTTCAATCCCTTTCCATTCCCCGTTGCCACATTTAGCAACAGAAGACGAAGAAACAGTTTTAATGACTAAAATTGATTCGATGGCACGTTTTAGATTTTAAAAAGATAGCAAATAATTTGACAGAGCCCCTTCTTATAGTTGCAAACTGATTCAATGTGTTGTTCAACTATTTTAAGACTCGCAACCGAAACTCAAAATCGTTCACATGCAAACTCAGTTCCCTAACCTAGTGAGTGTCCCTCAGTGAATTGTGTCCGTATTCCATAAAGCTTATACAATTAAGCCGCGGCGTGTATAGCCACCTCGTTAATACTGCCCATATAAATCGAGGTGGCAACAAGGGAGTGTAAAAAACCTAAAGACCTAAAACCCAAAACGAAGTCCCCCCTCAAAATCATTTGAAATAGTTCCACACGACTATTACAACCTGAGATGTGAAAGAAACCGCTGATCTTTAATTATCAATGAATCGGACTAGGCTCTTCGTTTTCTACAAAACCCCCTCCTCTCATATCACTTGGAAGCAGTGTCACGAAAGGTTTTATCTGTCTTCACTCATTAGTTCCTAGTTATTTTTTATGTTATACTACTACATGAGAAATTTCTGCAATTTGATTGGTTTAGAGCAGTGGTATTTCAGCTTAATTTGAAATACCTACATCTGAAAATTACAAACCTTTTGCGGGTAGTAGTATAAACAAATAATAGCATGATTTGTACGTGATATTTGGCATAAATACCACTACAAATCATGCTATTACCTATACATATTTTACTAGATTTTCGAACATTCACAATTATTCCACAAGGCAAAGTATGAGGTTATCCCTACCAAACGTTAAACAAAATTTTGGGAAAAGGACCTTTCTTTTTACTGGCGCAAAAATTTTTAACAAACTCCCTTTAAACATTGTGAAGAGTGAAAACATTCGAACGTTCTGCTGCCGAGCAAGACAATTCTTTTTATCATAACTTTGATATTTTATTACTATTTTAGGCGTTAAATGTGATTTTGTATTGTAGTTTTAGGCTTTTTAATGTAGTTCTTAAATTCTAGTATTGTATTTTTATTAGGCTTTTTAAATGTTATATTTTAATTTACGAAAATTCCTGATGTAATAATTTTTTTCTAGATACAGGGCCCCTATGGAGACCAGCCTTAGAGCTGAATGGGCTACCCTGTATAAATAAAGTTTTACTTTACTTTACTTTACTTTATTTGGCGCGCGCGGAAACCATCTTGGAACTTTGCGAGTAAGTTGGCTCCTCCATTATATTTTCAGTGAAATAGTAGTGGCGGATCGAGGCCCCCCCCCCCCCCCCCCCCCCCCCCCTCTTTCTCCACAACACACCACACCACCCACAAAAAAAAAAAAACACACACCCCGCCCCCCCCACGTCGCGTCGTCCGCACCCCCCCCCCACCTCCCACGCCCCCCCCCCCTCACCACAAGATAATAGATTGTTTGTTTTG